GCCATTCGGTCCATCGAGTCTGTGCCGGCTCTTTAACAGAGCAAGTCACTTTCACTAACCCCAATCACCAGCTTTCTCCCCATAACCCTGTAAACCCATCTTCCCCAGATGCCTATCCAGTTCTCTCTTAAAAGCTGTTATCGAATCGGACTTCACTCCCCTTTCAGGCAGATCATTCCAAATTCAACAACTCGCTGAGTGAAAAAATTCTTCTAACCTCCCCTCTGCTTCTTTTGGTAGATATCTTAAGACTGTGACCACGGGTCACAGACACACCTACCAGCGGAAACAGCTTTTCCTTATCTAGCCTGTCGAAACCTTTCATGATCTTGAAGACCTCTATCAGGTCCCCGCGTAACCTTCTCTGCTCTAATGGGAAAAGTCCTAACTTTTCCAGCCTGTCCTCATAGCTAAGGTTCCCCATTCCTGGTATCATTCTCGTGAATCTCCTCTGCACCCTTTCCAGTGCCTTAATGTCCTTCCTGAAGTAAGGTGCCCAGAACTGGACGCAGTACTCCAGCTGAGGCCTAACCAGTGTTTTGTATAGATTAACCATAACCTCCCTACTCTTATACTCTATGCCCCTACTAATAAAGCTCAGTACACCAAATGCCTTTTTTACTGCCTTATCTACCTGCCCCGCTACCTTTAATGATTCGCTTACTTGAACACCCAGATCTCTCTGTACGTTCACCCCCCTTAAGATTGAGCTACCAAGTCTATATTGCCTCCTATCATTTTTCCTACCTAAGTGTATCACCTCACACTTATCCACATTGAAATCCATCTGCCACATGTCAGCCCATTCCACCATTCTGTGTATGTCTGCTTGCAGTTGGTTACAGTCCTCTTCACTATTTACTACCCTACCTAACTTTGTATCATCTGCAAACTTGGAAATAGTGCTCTCTATGCCCAAGTCCAGATCATTAATATATATTAGAAAGAGCAGTGGTCCCAATACCGATCTCTGGGGAACACCGCTGCACACCTCCTTCCATTTCGAGAAACACCCATTAACCACCACCCTCTGCTTTCTGTCACTCAGCCAGTTCTTAATCGAAACTGCCACTGTCCCCTTAATACCGTGGGCCTCTAATTTTTTTATTAATCTCTTATGTGGTACTGTGTCAAAAGCCTTTTTGAAATCCATTTCCCTCATCAACCCTCGCAGTCACCTCTTCAAAAAATTCTATTAGATTTGTTAGGCAAGATTTGCCTTTAACAAATTTTCCGTTGTGAAGACAGATGCAATGTACTCGTTCAGTACATCAGCTATGCCCTCTGCCTCCACAACAAGATTGCCATTATTGTCTTTGATTGGCCCCACTCTACCTTTAACTAATCTTTTTTCCTTTATGTGCTTGTAAAATATTTTAGGATTCCCCTTTCTGTTACCCGCTAACCTCTTCTCATGCGATCTTTTAGCCTGTCTTATCACTCTTTTGTAGTGATAAGACAGTTGTAAAAAGAAACAAGAGGGGAGGTGAGGAGAAATCATTTCACACAGTGAGTTGTTCGGATCTGGAATGCATTGCCTGAGAGGGTATTGGAAGCCAATTCGATAACAACTTTTAAGAGAGAAGTAGATAATTATTTGGGGAAGACAAGTTTTCAGGGCTATGGGGAGAGCGCAGGGGAGTGGGATTGAATTGGATAGCTGTTTTCAAAGAGCCGGTATAGACACAATGGGCCGAATGGCCTCTTTCTGTGCTGTATAATTCTATGATTCAAAAAGAGAAGGGAGTTTTTCTCTCCCAGTATCCTGGCCAACAATCCCCCTGTTAAATTTGTCATTTGCTTCACAGCTGTTTATGGGACATCGCTGTGCACAAATTGACTGTCTTGTTTGCTCACAAAATACACAGTTACTGCATTTTACGGTATATCTTGTGAACAGCTTTGCGAATTCCTCCTAAAGTGAAAAATTCTGCATCAAATGTAAGGATTATTTAACTATTTCCTCCCATTGATTCTGTGCTGGTGCTCACTTTCCCACTGGAGCTCCCTATTTTAATCCCATTCCCTGCTCTCTTCCCATCATGTCTCTGCTGGTGCTCGCTCCCCCACTGGAGCTCTCTACTCTAATCACAGTCTCTCTCCCCATCGTGTCCAGTGGTCACTAAATTTCTCAACATCTTTGATTACAAAATTCAATATTCAACAATTTGTATAGTGATAATTCTTGCTTCTTTTAGTATTTGCTATAACACCTTTCACATCAAAGAATATACTGTAAAGTGTCGCGCTTTCAGCCATTACAACCCGAAAATTTGGAACACTTTTCCTTTATTCCTCCGCCTTGTCCCCTCCTTCCCTATCTTTGGGTTGCGCCTGAAGACCTTCCTCTTCAACCATGCTTAGTCACCTCCCTCCTCCCCCTGGCTCGGCGTTGTACTACGCCATTGTCAAACGCTCTGGGATGCTACTCTGCATGAGGGGTGCTACATAAGCGCAAGTTGTTGTTGACTGTGTGTTTTGTGGATGAACTCAGCAGCCAATATGGGTACAGGAACATCCCCAAAACAGCCATAAAATTAATCTGGTGATTGGTAGCCAGGACAGTGGGAGAAACTCCTTTCTCTTTTCGATTAGTGGCACAGAATCTTTAAAGTCCACCTGAACAGGACACATATGGAAATCTGTTTACCCTCACGTCCAAGGGACAACACCTCCAACAATGCAGCACTGCACTGGAGCATCAGCATAAATTAAATGAGTTCTAAGTCCGGACAAGGGGCTTGAACCCAAAACCTTCTGACTCAGAGCTGCCTGATTTAGGTTGACACACATGCTAACCTTGTCTGGGGGGAGGTAAATTGGGCAATGAAGTGTCAGAATCAAGCCAGCCCTCTGTGATGGTTCCTCATCCGGTTCCTGAGCCAGGCAGGTCCATAGTATTCCAGGGCACTACTGATAACAGCACAGTCCAGCCTGGCTCATAGACAAGACCAAGAAGGGCAGACCAGTCATTGGGGATAGGGATCTTCTCAATCAGCTCCTGTTAACCCTGCAAACCAAAGCCCAAACAGGTAGGATGGTCCTAGCTGGACAAGCAGTGGGAAAACTTGCCAGGCAGCAATATCAATGGCAAGCTATTGATAATAATTAATAATATAATTATTCAGGCGATATTTCATTGAGATGTCTGAAAGCGCTTCACAGAATATACTGGCAAGCTATGCGGTTTTAGCTGGTTAGACTCCAGCAATTGCACCAACGCACACTCTGGGGTCCCGAAGCCTTGGCTCTTACCAACCTGCGTCTTATACTTCCCAGAATTGGGTAAGCAGGATGCGCGTCCATTCCAACAATCGATCTCTGGGATTTCCGTGTTTGGGTGGGATGCATGGAGTTCTCAGTTTGGTTTGGATACTCTTAAGCATGGTGATGGATTTCCATGTGTGTCAGACACCCAAAAAATTGGGGTCCATTGGAATTGGGTGCAGTGGTAATAAATATCTTGATCGCTTTATTATTTAATATATTTCCCGCTTAAATGCTTCATTTCCCCCTTAACTGTTGAGGCCTTTATTTTTGATAAATCATTCCAAGTTGTAATGACTGTGTAGAGTGCAGGCTCCCACTTAACCCTTTCAGTGACATCGCTCAAGCGATCGCTGCATTCCCAGTGTTGAAGTGATGTTTGACAGATGACTGGACACAGGGTGTGGTGTTCCTGGTCTCTCTTCTGAATGTGATGACATTACACTTTCTCTGCAATGCTACAGGGATTAGAGGCATCTGCAGGTCACTGGCCCAGCCTCAGTGCTGCAGACTCTCAGAGAGACAGGCAGATACAGAGAGACAGACTAGACAGAGAAGCACAGAGAGACAGACAGACAGACAGACACAGAGAGAGAGAGACAGACACACCAAAAGACAAACAGAGACTGTGTCTCTAGCTATCTGCCTGACCCAGACAGACATGGAGAGATGGATAGATATAGAGAGACATACACACAGACTGTGTCTCTGGCTGTTTGTCTGTGTGTCAGTCTCTGTCACTCTGTCTGTCTGTCTGTCTGTCAATCTTTTAGATAGAGAGAGAGAGACACACACACAGACACACAGATTGGTAAGCAGAGAGGGAAATGCAGAGAGAGAGAGAGACTGGTAGACGGAGAGGGAAATGCAGAGAGAGAGAGAGAGAGAGAGAGAGAGAGACTGGTAGACAGAGAGGGAAATGCAGAGAGAGTAGAGAGAGATACACAGACTGACGGACTGACAGAGACACAGACAAACACACAAGACAGTTAGCGAGAGACATCGACAATCTGATAAGGCAGCGAGAGTCAGACAGGTAACCCCCACACACACACACACACACACACACAGACATACACACACACACAGTGTATGTACATATAGAGTATCTGAAGCGAGAACATGTGTGTGTGAGTTCCCTCAGCTGTCCGGGGTAATGTGATGCCTGGCCCCGCCTGGCCCGGCACCAGCCCTATATTTAACCAGCAAAGCAATCCGAAATAGCTGGCCATAGCCAGGCACAGCTCAACCATTGCTGCCTGTAACAGGCTCCACACAGATCCATCCTCTCTCTTTAACTCGGACTCTCTCTTTAACTCGGACTCTCTCTTCCCTTCTATCTATCGAACTGCGATTTTCTCTCTCTTTTCTTCCACACACTCTCTCTCTCTCTCTCTCAGTTTCCTCTCCTTCCTGCTTTTCTCTTTCTCCATCATCTTCTTTCCCATGTGTTCCTCTCTCTCTCCCTCTCCCTCTCTCTCTCTCCATCTCTCTGTATCTCTGCCCGCGGTCCATCTCCATCCCCACAGCTCAGACGCAGCTACGGGGATGGGATGGGATGGGATGGACAGTGATGTTGCTCTGTGTACCAGGCTGTACCCAGGCGGGGTTAGAGGGACCTGCCTGGCTGCCTGTCTGGGGGAGAGACCCCTGGGGCTGGGAGGAGGTGTGTAGGGGAGAGAGATCGACAGACACACAGACAGACAGACAGACAGACAGACAGACAGACCTACCTTGGAAAGTTACCGCACAGTAAGCGTCGGTGATGTCCTGGTCAGGGGTCTGGATGGTGTCCGCCCGGATCACAAACACACGCAGCATCTTATACCCTCTGCCTGACTGGTGCTCTTCAGCAATCTCTCTGACTCTCTCTCTCTCTCTCTCTCTTTCCCCCTCCCCTTCTCTCTAACTCCTTCCCTCCTTCTCTAATTATCCCTCTCTTCCTCCTCTCTCTATCCAATTCTCTGATTCTCCCTTTCTCTCTCGCTTTCCACCCCCTCTTTCCCTAACTCTGATTCATTCTCTCTCTCTCTCTCTCTCTCTTCCCCACCCCTCTCTCTCTCTCTCTCTCTAATTCTCTCTGCCTTCCCTCCCTTCTCTATGTAACTCTCGTATTCTCTGTTTCCACACTCCCTCTAACTCTCTCTCTCTCTTTCTTTCCACTGTCTTTCTAACTCTTCCTCTCGCTCTCTTTCCCACTCTCTTTTCAATATCCTCTCCTTCCTGCTTTTCTTTTTCTCCCTGTCATTTTCTTTCCCCTGTGCTTTTTTTTTCTCTCTCTCCCTCCTCTCTCTGTATCTCTCTGTACCTCTGCCCAGACACACTGCCAGCCTTGGTCTTAGTCTCTCCTCCAGGCTAATTTGCGCTAATGCAGTCACAGCAAAACCTCAGCCTCATGTGACCCCAAACAGAGGGGATACATGGATATCTCCTGCAGTCTTTATAGGCTTTCAGCTCTCTGTTTGCCAGTCAACCCCAGCAATAATACCTCCTCCCACTGCCAAACTGTCTCAAAGCACTTAGCTTATTATTATTAATAATCCTTGCATTTGATACAGCGCCTTCCACCTCGGGAGGATGTCTCAAAGCAAGTCACAGGATTTACTGTAAAGTATACTGACTTTGTATTTGTGGGCATGCGCTCCAGCCAAATTGTGCACAGCAGTGTCCCCAAAACAGCCATCAAGTGAAGCAACATCTCAACAGTGTGATAAGGTCTATATCAAATGCGAGGATGATTCTTATTATTAATTCACTATTAATTATGTGTGAACAAGGATATGTTGTGCTGAGGTAGGGTGCGGTTCTGCAGCTGAGAGACAGCCACTTATGCAGCAAACCAAATCAAATTTAAAATTGGTTGGACAAGCTGCCCATTTATTTAGAGCTGGGCAGTGACTCCAGAGAGTTAACCCTAAGAGAGTGGAAAATTCAATTGAATTAGCCTTAATTGCAGTCATGGGGATGGTGGGGGATCTGTTTTTTAAGCCTGGCTCAGTCTCTCACACTCACCTCTGAGTCAGAAGGTTGTGGGTTCAAGCCCCACATCACGACTTTGAGCTCACAATCTAGGCTGATGCACCAGTGCAGTACTGGGGGAGTGCACATTGTCGGATGGGCTATTCTTCGGATGAGACATTAAACCGAGCTCCCTGTCTGTGCCTTTTGAGGTGGACGTCAAAGACCCCATCACACTATTGCAAAAGAGAAGGAAGTTTCTCTCTCCTGGTGTACTCGCCAACAACCCCCCCAGATAAAATTGGTCACGCAATCCATGGCTGTTGTGAATTGTTGCTGTGTGCAAATTGGCTGCTGTGTTCACCCACATAATACACAGTCACTACATTTTACAGCAAATCCTGCAACGTGCTTTGAGCCATCCTCCAGTGTCAACCTGGACAGTTAGCAAAAAAATCCCCATGGTGCAGCTTGAACCCACAACTCTCTGTTTCAGAGACCCTACCAAATAATCTAAGATGACAAATGTTTTTTTTGGTCAGCCAGATTCCTGAAACACACGGAAACCTATCACTGTGATCAGTCGGGTGTCTGAAACACACGGAAACCTATCACTGTGATCAGCCGGGTATCTGACACACATGGAAATCGCGGAACAGTGAAACGAGTGGGGCAGAGCAATTGTCCAATTACGAGTAGAGTGGTTTGCAAATAATACAGAACATAAGGTTTAATAACTTTTTACCAATTGTCACCTCTTATGTAGAACTGGGTTTGCTTCTCTCTGAATCACTTCTGTGTTTTTTATTCTGTTTTTCTTCTCCCATATTTCTGCCCAGGTCCCAGGAATGGGTTTGACTTTTTCCAGCCACTGTCATACATGTTGTATTCTCTACCCTCTTAAGTACAGAACTTGTGGAGTCCTGTAGCTCAGTGGTTAGAGCACTCACCTCGCAAGCAAGACCTGGGTTCAATTCCCAGGCAGGGTGAAATGTTGGGCAAGTCTCCTTACTCCACACTGTTTACTTAGCAGTAAGTAGGAATCCAGTTGTTAATCGATTGGCTGATTGTTTTTCCAGAGATAATTCCTTCTAAAAATATATAATAAAAATTACAAATTGGTCACTCAAACCATGACTGTTTGTAAGACATTGCTGTGTGCAATTGGCTTCCACGTTTTGCCCACAAAATATACAGTCAATTCACTTTGCAGTATACTCTGTGAAGCACTTAGAGACATCTCGAAGACATAATAAGGCGCTATATCAAATGCAAGGATTATTATTATTATATTAAGAAAGTTATCCGCAGCTGATCGAGGACAAGATGGAAGCCATATTCCTTGGCTCCCATCATTGTCTTTTCTCCTGCAGCTCTGACCTCCTCAATCTCCCTGGCCTGTCCCTAAGACTTACTGATCCTGTGTGTAACCGAGGTGTCAGGTTCAATCTCCAGTTGTCCTTCCTCCCCCACATCTGGTTCCTGACCAACCCCACTTTCTTTCCCTCCATCACATTGCTTGACTCCAACCATACCTTTCCCAAGACGCAGCCGAATCCCTCTTCCATGCCTTTGTTACCTCCTAGCTCAACTATTCAAATGCACTCCTCGCCAGTCTCCCCAGTTCCACTCTCCGCAAAACCCAACTGCACCAAAACTCTGTCACCCGTGTACTTATCCACACTAAACTCCGTACCCCCATCACACCAGTCCTCACCAGGCTGCACTGGCTTCCTATCACAGAATGGATCAACTTCAAGATCCTCACACTGGTCTATAAATCCCTTTACGCACTGGCTCCTCCCTACCTCTCCGACCTGATTATTCCCTAACCCACTATGGCCTGCTTGGCCCTCAAACCCTCCGCTCCACCTTCGGCGGATGTTCACCCAATACACCCCGAAATTCTGGAACTCTTTCCCTCAATCCCTTCAGCTTGCCCCCTCATTCCCCATTTTCAGATCATGACTGAAGACCTTCCTCTTCGGCCACGCTTAAGATCACCTCCTTCTTTCCCCCCGGCTCGGCATCAGGCTCTGCCACTGTTAAGGCACTCCGAGACACAGCCTTGTGTGAAGGGTGCTGTATAAATGCAAATTGTTGTCAAGTTGTTGGTGTCCTGTGATCCACTTGTGATCCCAATTCGCCCAAGAGAAATGGTTTGACTTTGACCTGAGGCTAAGTAAGACAATCAGTGCATGGAAAGCAGATGGGGGGGACAGCAAAACAAAGCTGGTCTGTCTTTCATGGTCTCACAATAAACAACACAATAATAATATTCTTACATTCCATACAGCTATTTTTGCATTGGGCAGGATGTCTCAAAGCGCTTCACAGGATTCATTGTAAAATGCATTGACCGTGTATTTTGTAGGTGAATGTGACAGCTAATTTGTGCACAGCAATTGCCCCCAAACAGAGTTTGACTTTGGGGGATTATTTTATTTTATTTAGGGGATTGTCGGTTAGGACACCAGGAGAGAGAAAATCCCTTCTCTTTTTGAATAGTGCCACGGCATCTTTAACATCCACCTGAACAGGCAGACGGACCTCAGTTTAACATCATCATCCGAAGGACAGCACCTAATAATAATAATAATAATAATAATTCTTGCCTGTGATATTGCGCCTTCAAGACATCTCCAATCGCTTCACAGAATATACTGTTAAATGAATTTATTGTATATTTGTGGACGAAACTCACCAGCCAATTGTGCACAGCAGTGTCCCACAAACAATTGTGGATAGAACTGACCAAATTATTATTATAATTTTTTTTGTTGAAGAGATTATTACCCCCAGAAGAGCAATCCACCAATTTACTAACATCCCCTCCCAAAATGCCCCCACCTTTTGTTACTCCTAGTCAGTCCTTCTCTCCTACCATCCTCCCCGTCTTCTATCCCTCCTGGACCCTCCCACAGCCTCTCTCTGCTCCAGCCTGGGCATCCTCGTCCGGGCTCACCGCGACACTCGGCAATGGCTGTCACAGAGCAGCCACACCGACTGCAGGAGTATAACCTTCTGACTCAGAGGCAAGAGCACTACCTACTGAGCCAGATTGACATCATGGGCTTAATTGACAGCAGCAACAACAATAACTTGCACTTATGTAGCGCCCTCCATACCAGGCGGCGTCTCAGAGCACTTAACAGTGGTGAAGCCCAAGGCCGAGCCTGGGGGGAGAGGGAAGGTGATCGTAGATGCAGTCAAAAAGGAAGGTCTTCAGGCACGACCTGAAGATGGGGAAGGAGGGGGTGAGGCGAAGGGTTTGAGGGAGGGAGTTCCAAAGTTTCGGGGTATAGTGGACTGAAGGCACGGCCGACGATGGTGGAGCGGAGACCTCGGGTGATACGGAGGAGCCCAGACCCAGTAGAGCAGAGGCAGCGGGTTATGCTGTGGGGAGAGAGGAGGTTGGAGAGGTAGGAGTGTGCCAAGGAATGGAGGGATTTAAGCACTAGAGTGAGGATCTTGAAATCAATCTGCTCTGGGAGCCAGTGGAGTTTGGCAAGGGCTGGGGTAATCATTTACATTTACAGTATTTACATACATATACATGAATTTACAGTAAACGCCTCATCGCTCTGAGGGAAAAGGGCTCATTGATGAGTTATCTGGAGCAGCGAATTAGGTGTGTGTATAACTATATAAATAACTGGGGCCGGCACATTGACAGCATGATGATTTAAGTGGCAGTGACAAGTTAAGCCAGGGTCGAGTTATCAGAAATTTACTATATATAGCTTATCACGCATGGTAATGTTTCGGAGCGTTGATTGGCTGATGAACAGGGAATTCTCTCCCAGCAACTAAAATTTATGCTTAAATTTCTTGCCTTGATTTTAAGGCAAAGGCAGTGGCCGAGTTGGAGAGGGGATAGCCCCACTTTCTTGTGGCTATTAAACATTCCTTAAATAACATGAGGAAGACATTAAAAGACTTAATAAAATAATAACATTCCTTGCATTTCATATGGCGCCATATCACTTCTTCAAGATATCTCAAAGCACTTCACAGAATATACTGCAAAGTGAATTGCCTGTATATGTTGTGCGTAGCAGTGACCTACAAACAGTCGTGGATTGAGTGACCTTAATTTTTTTTAAGGGACTATTAGCCTCAGAAAAGCAATCTGACAATCAACTAACAAACAGGTTCTAATTTACTGCTAGGTAATAGTAATAGTAATAATAATAATAATAATTAGATAATAATAATAATAATTGGAGTCCTGTAGCTCAGTGGTTAGAGCACTCGTTTTGCAAGCGAGAGACCTGAGTTCAATTCCAGGCAGAGGGCGAAACCTTGGGCAAGTTTCCTTACTCCACACACCTAATAATAATCCCTCCAAAACAAAACAATAATAACAAATTGGTCATTTTCAATCTACGACTGTTTGTGGGAGATTGCTATGCGCAATTGGCTGCCGCGTTCGCCCGCAAATATACAGTCAATTCACTTTACAGTGTGTTCTGTGAAGCGCTTTGGGACGTCCTCCTGACGTGAAAAGCGCTATATCAAATACAAGGATTATTATTATTATAATAAACTATTATTATGATTATTATTAATAATAATAATTTATTATTAATAATAATTACCTAGCAGTAAGTTAGAACCTGTTTGTTAGTTGATTGTCAGATTGCTTTTCTGAGGCTAATAGTCCCTTAAAAAAAATTAATAATAATAATAATCCTTGCATTTGATATAGCGCTTTTCACGTCGGGAGGACGTCCCAAAGCGCTTCACAGAACACACTGTAAACAGAGACATGTGGAGTAAGGAAACATGCTCAACATTTTGCCCTGTCCGGGAATCGAATCTATGTCCTCTCGCTTGCGAGGAGAGTGCTCTAACCACTACGCTACAGAACCTCTGATCTTACCTCATTTTGTAAGTGGACAAGAAAGCCAATTAGAATGACTGGATCTTGAAATCCACTTGAACAGATATAGATGGGTTTAATGTCTCATCCAAAGGATAGCACCTCAACCAATGCAGTGTTCCCCCAGCATTGCTCTGGAGCAAAGGTCTAGATTATGAACTCAAACTCTCGATGTTGAACTTGAACCCACAACCTTCTGACGTCACAGGCGAGAGTCCTACAGACTGAGCCAGGCTGACACACAATACACGTTTACATAACTTCTTTCACATCGGGGGGACATCTCAAAGTCTTTCACAGAATGCCTTGGTCAGACTATGTTCAGTTTTAGGCATCGCACCTCAGGAAGGTTAGATTGGCTCTGGAGGGGGTGCCGCTCAGATTCAACAGAATGATACCAGGGCTGAAAGGGTTAAATTATAAGGACAGGTTCCATAAACTTGGTCTCTATTCCCTTGAGATTAGAGTTTTGAGGGGTGATTTGTATTTAAAATAATGAAGGGATTCGATAGGGTAGATACATGGAAACTATTTCTTCTGGTGGGGGAATCCAGAACAAGGGGCATCATCTTAAAATTCCAGAGTACAGGGAGCAGAATGGCTGAAACCTCGCCCAATGATGGTGGGGTGAGTTGGTCGGGGGACATGAAGCAGGTTGGTGCTCGCTGAATGGAGGAAACGGACGGGGATAAGTCTCTGATGGTGACATTTGAACACTTCAAAAAAATCAGACTTCACTGGGGATTGAACCCAGGACCTTCTGTGTGTAAGACAGACGTGATCACCACTACACCATGAAGCCAAACTGACACCTGAGGTTCTGTGTGAGGCATGCATGAACGAACGAATGATTTTTTTGCATTTGACGGCCCATTATCACATTATAACAATAATGCTTACATTTGATATAGCGCCTTATCTCATTGTTGAGACATTTAATAGCGTTTCATAGGATACACCGAAAAGTGAATTGATTATATATTTTGTGTGCAAAACACAGCAGCCAATTGCACATAGCATTGTCCTTACAAACAGTTATGGATTGAGTGAGCAAATTATTATTATTATTTTAATTTATTTATTTTTGGTGGGATTATTACCGCCAGAAAAGTGATCCGCCAATCGACTAACAACTGGGTTCCTACGTATTACCAGGTAAACAGAGGCGTGTGGAGTAAGGAAACTTGCATAACGTTTCACCCCACCCGGGAATCGAACCCGGGTTCTCTTACTTGCAAGGCAAGTGCTCTAAATCATCCAAACACATTGCAAAAATGTCTCAAAGCATTTCACAGGATTTACTGTAAGGTGGAGTGACTGTGTATTTTGTAGGCGCTCGCAGAACCATCTCATAAACAATAATGCAGTGAGTGATCAATTTTATCTGGGGGATTGTTGGCCAGGACACTGTGAGAGAGAAACTCCCTACTATTGTCAAGTAGTACCATGAGATCTTTAACATCCACCTGAACAGGTATGGACGGGAACTTAGTCTAAAGCTTCATCCGAAGGACGGTGCCCCGACATCGCTCCCCCCAGCAATGCGCTGGAGAGTCAACCTGGATTGCGAGCTCACAGTCCCTTTTGGCTGCTTTACGTCAATATTTTGTGCCAATAAATAACAGTGCTCGCCCACTATTCCTTGGTAGTATTTCTTGATTACAGCCTGTGAAAACTGAAGCCATTTAAAATGAACTGACTTCACTGGGGATTGAACCCAGAACCTTCTGCGTGTAAGGCAGATGTGATAACCACTACACCATGAAGCCAACTGGGCAGATGTGTTGTTATGTTTCTACTAATGCGGAAAGAAGGAAGGAACAAACGAGAACAGCTTAACACTGGGGAACCTAATGCAGAGTCAGGGGGAAGGGAGGAGGTGATGTAAACGTGGTCGAAGAGGAAGGTCTTCAGTTGTGATCTAGAAGAGGGGAAGGAGGGGCAAGATGGAGGGACTGAGGAAGAGAGTTCCAAAGCTTCAGAGCACAGTGACTAAAAGCATTGCCGCCGATGGTGGAGCAGAGGGGAAAAGGGACAAGCAGGAGGCTAGAGCCAGCTGAGCGGAGGCAGCATGTAGTGAATGGGGAGAAAGCAGGTCGGAGAGTTAGGGAGGTGCCAAGGCGTGAAGGGATTTGTAGACAAGTGTGAGGATCTTGAAATCGATCCATTTTGTAATAGGCAAAGAGTGGAACCTGATGAAGACTGGTGTAACAGGGTACAGAGTTTAATGTGGGTGAGAATACGAGCGGAGGGGTTCTGGATCAGTTGTCATTTATGGGTACTGGAGTGGAGTGGCAGAATCTGACAACAGATCCAGGGGGAGAGGGAGGGGGGGATGTGACCATAAGCACTATCAAAAAAGAAGGTCTTCAGGAGGGATTTGAAGGTGGGGAGGGGTCAAGGCAGAGGGATCGAGAGAGTTCCAGAGTTTCGTAGCGTAGTGGCTGAAGGCACGACACAGATGGTGGAGCAGGAGGGACAAACAGGAGGCTGGAGCCAACCGAGTGCAGGCAGCTGGTGGTGGAGTGGGAGCTAATCAGATCGGATAGGTACGGAGGTGTGAGGGAATGAATTGATTTGAAAATGAGTGAAAGGATCTTGAAGTGGATCTGTTCGGTGATTGGGAGCCGGTGGAGCCTGGCAACGACTGGTGTGATGGGGATACAGAGTATTGTGCGGGTGAGTATTCAGGCTGCAGAATTTTGAAGTAATTGGATTTTGTGGCTGATGTAGCTGGGGAGACCAGCGAGGATGGCATTAGAATAGTCCAGCCAGGAAATGACGAAAGAGTAGACGAGGGTTTCAGCTGCATCAGTTGTGAGGTACGGACGAAGGTGAGCAATACGGTGGAAGTGGATAAAAGAGGTCCTGGTAAGGGAACGGATGTGGGGTAGAAAGGAAAGCCGGGGATAGAACTTGACACCTAACTTGCGCACCGTTTCAGTGAGTCTAGGGAGAACCCGGGGAGGTTGAGGAGTTCAAGGTGACAGGACATCAGCGTACTGGGAGTCGGAGCCACAGGAGGAGAATTAGATTTGGGTGTTATCCATCTACATGTGGAAGTTAACCCCATGTCTGTGGAGGACATTGCCGAGAGGGAGCAAGTAGGGTATTGGATTCATGGAGTAGGGCCACGGAATATTGGAGTAGTAGGAAGAAAGGAAGGCAGGAAGGAAGGCAGGAAGGAAGGCAGGAAGGAAGGAAGGAAGGAAGGAAGGAAGGAAGGAAGGAAGGAAGGAAGGAAGGAAGGAAGGAAAAAGAAAGAACAATAAACAGCATTTATGTATCGCCCTTCACGTGACATTTCATCTCAGAGCCCTTGATCGTATCGTATTGATCGTATCGGACACCAAGAGAGGGGGAGGAGAGGTGACCGTAGATGCTGTCAAAGAAATATGTTTTTTCTGTATCAAATATGTAAGCAGGTTTGAAGGACAAATAGAGAGTGTGTGCATTAGGTAAGCAGCATGTCAGCAACTAGAGAGTATAAGTTTAAGATATGATACAAAATACAAAATTGCATTTATAAAGCGCTTTTACGTCAAGAGGACGTCCCAAGGTGCTGAACAGTCAGGGATTAGGGTTTAGGTCCTGAGCAGATGGGGGCGGTTGGGATCAGAGACGGTGGAGGGCAGAAAGGGTGGCCGAAGGCACGGTGGAAGAGGAGGATCTTGAGGAATGCCTTGAAGGAGGCAAAGGAGGGAATGAGATGAAGGGACTGTAGGGACTGTTAGTAAATGAGCAAATGAGGAGGATAGGAATTTGTTTTCATGCACAGATTGGCTAAAATTAATATCTCATCCGTTCTGCAGATGAGATGTTAAACCGAGTTCCTGTCTGCCTGTTCAGGTGGATATTAAAGATCCCATGGCACTTTTCAAAAAGAGAAGGGAGTTTCTCCCAGTGTCCCTGCTAACAATAAAATTGGTCACTCACACTACGATTGTTTGTGGGACACTGTGAAAACGTGAAAAGTTACTGTATCAAATGCAAGGATTATTATTATTTATTATTATATGGAATGCCCTGCTGGGAACAGTGCTTGAGGCTTCCTAAGAGGAACTAGATAAATACTTAAAAAGGTCCTTGAAAGAGCCGTTGCCTTCCAGCTTCGCTCTTTCCTCTCCTCCCACTCCCTCCATGAACCCCTCCAATCGGGTTTGAAACTGCTCTGCTCAAGGTCACAAATGATACCCTGACCATGTGTGACCAGGGCTCCCTCTGCCTCCTCGTCCTCCTCGACCTCTCGGCCGCTTTTGACACTGTGGTCCATTCAATCCTCCTCCACCGCCTCTCCTCCCACCTCAACCTTCAAGGTTCTGTCCTTGACTGGTTCAGGTCCTACCTTTCACACTGCCTCCAATTGGTCTCAGCAAACAGCTTCTCCTCCAGCCCCCGCACTGTCTCGTGCGGTGTTTCTCAGGGCTCTGTCCTCTGTCCCCTCCTCTACTTGCTCCCCCTTGGTGACATCATCCGCAGACATGGGTTAAATTTCCACATGTATGCGCATGACACCCAACTCTACTTCTCTGTCTCCATCCTCAACTCAAGGACTACTGGCGTCCTGACCGACTGCCTGTCCAACATCAAGTCCTGGACAAGGGACAACTTGCTCCAGCTGAATGTCAGCAAAACTGAGGCCCTCCTGATGGCTCACGCCAGCACCTCCGCACCTCGGGCGCTGGCAACATTAGCCTCCACAGCTACACACTCAACCTCACTAAGCCAGTCAGGAATCTGGGTTCTTGTTTGACCCCAAACTGTCCTTTCTACCCCACATCCGCGCCATGACCAGCACTGCCTACCACCACATCCGCATCATTGCCAGACTCCACCACTGCTTCACCCCTCAGGCTGCCGAAACCCTCACCCACGTATTCGTCACATCAAGGCTCGATTATGGAAATTCCCTCCTCATCGGCCTCCCCAACTCTTCCCTTCACAAGCTGCAGATCATCCAAAACTCTGCAGCTCGTGTACTCTCGCCCACCAGGCTCCGTGACCCCATCACTCCCAGCCTCGCCTGACTCCACTGGCTCCCCATCCCTCTGAGGATCGAATTCAAGGTCCTCGTCCTCACTTTCAAGCCATCCATGCCCTTGCCCCCTCCTATCTCTCTGACCTGCTGACTCCCTACCAACCTGCCCGCTCCCTCTGTTCAGCGGGCTCCAGTCTGCTCCATGTCTCCCACCTGACCCGTCCTATCCTCGGTGGCTGAGTTTTCAGCCTCTCTGCCCCCAAGACCGGTCTTAAGACTCTCCTTTTCGATCGTGCCTTTGGTCGCCCTCCCACCTCTCTGCTTTCTCTCACCCCTACCCCACCCTTCCCCCATGCTCAGGTCCTGACCCCTTACTGTCCAGTACCTTGGGATGTCCTCCCGACATGAAAAGCACTCTATAAATGTAATTTTGTTGTTATTGTTGTGAGTAAACTGCAAGGGGGAATAATAATAATCCTTGCATTTGATATAGTGCATTTTCATGCTTTTGAGGCATCTCAAAGTGCTTCACAGAATATACTGTCAAATTAATTGTCCCACAAACAGTCATGGATTGAGTGAACAAATTTTTTAAAAAGCAATTATTACCCCTGGAAAGTGATCCGCCAATCGACTAACAACCGGGTTTCTTCTTACTGCTAGGTAAATAGAGGCATCTAAAGTAAGAAAACTTGCCTGAGGTTTCACACTGCCCGGGAATTTAACTGAGATTCTCTCACTGGCCAATGTGCTATATGACGCCACAGATATGGGAAAAGGGCATGGAAATGGAAGTGAAAGCATTGGTCTTAACAAAGCCAGTAGACACAATGGGGAGAATGTGCTGTAAATTTATATGGTTCTTCCCCCCTCCCCACCGCACCCGCGGAGGAGCAAGAGAAAGCACATTCCATTCAAGACAAAGGAAAATTTTCATGTGTAAGTGGCATAAAAATGTGGAACTCTCTGTCTGTTTTGGAGGCTCCTAAGTGATGAGTTTCAGACAACCAGCTGATCATGGTTTCAGCGTGTGTCAGATACCCGCAACATACATGTTCTAATGATACTACAGAGGGTAATGATAATTTGGGATGGGGAGAAGGAGATTTAGATCAGTGTGAGTTGTGCTACCTTTGTCATACCACCAGAGGACAACAGAGACCGACATTCCTCCTGGATGAATGAAGGTTTTTTCCATGGACCATTTATGCCACTTATTTGTATTTGTAGTTTCTATTTGTAGTTGTTGTTTCTCTTCCTAGATTACAATAGATTACTTGATTACAATAACAATTCTTGTATTTGATACAACAATTTGCATTTATATACAGTGTTATATCACACTAGAAATGGGAAGTGCTATGCTTGCAACCAGTTTCATTTAATTAGTCTTCTCTCTTTCGTCTGACATTTTTATTTGTCCTTGAAATGCTTGATCTTCGCTTCTTAGGCGTCTTCATCCCTTAAGATTAAGAAAATATGATATTGAACTCGTTATCATCCCTTGCTCACATATCCTTTTGGGAGGACTCCTGTGGGAGGACTCCTGTTGGGAGGACTCAGTGGGAAGACTCAGTGGGAGGTCTTAGCAGGAGGCCTCAGTGGGAGGACTTAGAAGGAAGCCTCAGTGGGAGGACTCCTGTTGGAAGGACTCTTTGTTGCAGTCCATACATGTGTGATGAGCTTCTTTAGGTCATGTTAGGTGATCCACGAAAAGAAATATGCCCCTGACATCGCCTATGCAAGACCTTTCCAGTGAGGTATAAATCATGTCTCTATGTCAATCGATTATTGAGTTCTTGGCGGACAGACACACAAGTAGACATTTTGTCTTTATTAGTATAGATGTATCTCTCTAGAAGGGTGTGTGATTTCGTCTGTTGCTACTTTGTTTCAGCGCCTTGGGACATCCTCCTGACGTGAAAGGCACTTTATAAATGGAATCTTGTTGTTGTTGTTGTTGTTGCAAAATACCGTGTATAGCTACTTTGTCGCAGAATATCATGCATACCTTTTGGGGGCTTAATTAAAGCATTTTTTAATATAGCTTATCAACGAGAGGAGATTCACACCACAAAAATATGCCAATGACACTTCCCTTTGCAAGACCTTTCCAATGAGGTATAAATCATGTCTCTATGTCAATCGATTATTGTGTTCTTGGCGGACAGACACGCAGATAGACATTTTGTCTTTATCAGTATAGATTGTCAAATCATCTCAAAACTCTTTGAAACGCTTTCACTGCTTAAACTGTAAAGGGTAATGACTGCGTTTGTAGGTGAATGAAGTAGTCAATTTGTCTCTTAATCTTTCTATGACTATCTCTCTCTCTCTAATGTCTACATATTTCTCTCCCTCCCCATCACTCTCACTCTATTTTCTAACGCTAATTATTTCCATCAATCTATCTGCCTCTATCACTCTATTTCCATTCGTATATCACTCCCTCACTCTCTATTTGTTTGTCTCTCTCTCTCTAGAACTCTTTATCCAGCACTCAGGTGCTACCCAGTGTGAAGGGCACTATTTAAGTGTAAGTTGTTGTTGTAATCACTCTCCATCTCTATATCACTCTACCTATCTAAAATAAAAGCATTCCTGCATTTGATATATCACCTATCATGCTAACAAAACATCATAGGATTTATTATAAAGTGTAGTGACTGTATATTTTGAAGATAAACGTAGTAGCCAATTTGTACACAGCAACATCCCACAAAGAGCCATGAAGTTGAAGCACTTTGAGACATACTCCCGTGAAAGGTACTCCTTGACCCGCTCTTCCTTCCCTCACCTCTGTAACATTGTCCGACTCTGCCACTACCTCACCGCTCAGGCCGCTGAAACTCTTGTTCATGCCTTCATCACCTCCAGGTTTGACTATGCAAATGCCCTGCTTGTCGGCCTTCCCAACTCCTCCCTCCTCAGACTGCAGATAATCCAGAACTCTGCAGCCCGTGTTCTCTCCCGCAGAAAACTCTGTGACCCCATCTCCCCCACTCTCGCCCAACTCCATTGGCTCCCTATCCTTCAGAGGATCCAGTTCAAGATCCTGGTCCTCACCTATAAGGCCCTCAATGGTCTCCCCCCACCCTATCTCTGTAACCTCCTAACCCCCTACCAACCCGCTTACTCTCTCCGCTCAGCCGGCTCCGGCCTGCTCCACATTCCCCCGACCCACCTGCCCCACAATTGGCGGGAGAGTCTTCAGCCACTCTGCCCCCAACCTCTGGAACTCCATCCCCCAATCACTCCGCCTTGACCCCTCCTTAGCCTCCTTCAAATCCCGCCTCAAAACCCTCCTTTTCGACCATGCCATTGGTCACCCCCCTTCCCTTCCCCTTCCCTCCCTTCTCCCCCCTGACCCCAGCTTGGGTCTGAAATGTTGTACACCGTCCAGCGCCTTGGGACGACCTCCCGACGTGAAAGGCACTATACAAATGTAATCTTGTTGTTGTTGTTAAATTAAAATTGTATTGTTGAAGTGAATGACCAGTTTTGTTTGAAGGATTGATCAGCGATGTGGAATCTTTAATGTCAACAACAACAAATTACATTATTATACAGCTCCTTTCACATTGCGAGGATGTCCCGAGACGCTGGACAATGAGGGATTTGCACCCAAGCTGTGGGTTGGCATCATAGAATTATAGAATTATATAGCACAGAAGGAGGCCATTCAGCCCATCGTGTCTTTGCTGAGTAGAAAGGTGGAGGGCAAGGGTGTGTGGAGGAGGGTAGATGACTGAAGGTTCGTTCAAAAAGGAAGTTCTTGAGATAGGCCTTGAAAGAAGCAAGGGAGGAGGCGAATGGGAAGGGCTCTGGGATGGAGTTAATAAGTGTAGGGAGAAAAAGGTTGAAGGCCCGACGACCAATAGTATAGTGGCAGGACAGGGGACGTGGAGCAGGCCAGTGCCACCTGTAAGGTGCACAGACAGTAGCTCGGATGGGATGCAGGCGGGTGTGAGGTGAATCTGGACAAGGAAATGTTTTGGGGACCATGATAAGCTGTTTGATAAGCCGTTGGAAGCAGAAAGTGTTGATTCTTCCAAAAGCAATTTAGTTCAATTTCTGTTAGGAAATAATATGTCGGGATATAGTTTGGGACGTGACAAGTGCGTGCGACTGTCAGGATGATGGAAGACGAACTGGATGGACTTTGGTCTTTCGTCTAGCAATTCTTACATCCTTATTAGCACCGGCTAGGGGATAGGGGCCAGAGTTTCTGATGCGGGTGGCAGGGTGCGGGGGGAGAAGGTGGAGGGGAGAGTTGGTGTTGGAAGGGGCAGCAGCGGGAGGGGATATGACTGGGGGCAATGGGGGCAGTGACTCGGGGCAATGGGGGAGTGACTGGGGGCAATGGGGGTGTGAATAGGGGCAAAGGAAGAGGGGGAGTGACTGGAGACAATGAGGGGAGTGACTGGGGGCAATTATCCATCACTACTAAAATACTAAAAATCATAAAATTGGTCACTTCAATCCATGACTGTTTGTGGGACATTGCTGTGCGCAATTGGCTGCCGCGTTCGCCCACAAATATACAGTCAGTTCACTTAACGGTGTGTTCTGTGAAGCGCTTTGAGACGTCGAGAAGATGTGAAAAAGCGCTATATCAAATGCAAGGATTATTATTATAACTCCGCCTCCCACTGCCACTCTCTTTGATTGACGTCTTCCTCTGACATTGCGAAGCATAGGATTCCTGTCACCCCGCCCCTTCCACCCTGAGCCAATCAGCAATGAACGGGCGGGGATAAACTAGCCCCGCGGCCAATCAGAACGCGAATTGTGCGAGAGGGGGCGGAGCGGGACGAGTCCTTTGTTTTCACGGTGGATGTTCGGCATCATTTGACTGATGTGCCTGAGCGCCAATGAGACAGCGGTACTATGAAAGGTGTGTTGGGTGGATGTGGTTATAGCCCAATAGAAGGCGTCGATGGTTTCGGAATAACCAATAGAGAGCGAGAGCGGGGATTAACCACTGCCGAGCCCGCGCGCACATGCGCTCTTCACACCCCGTTTCCCCATACCCGCATTTGAGATTTACAGCTCAGTAAGCCAATGAAAAGTCGCTGTGTAAAGCAAATAAACCAATAGGAAAGCGAGAAGTGGGTGGGCGTGATTAACTGTCCCGCTGTGTCAAAGAGCGCATGCGCTGCTTGGCACCCCTCCCCCCACCCTCACTTGAGATTGACTGCTAGGCGGACCAATGAAAAGGTCGTGGAGGAAAGTGAGTGAACCAATGGGAGAGGGAGAGGGCGGGAAAAGAGAGCGCGGGCGCATGCGCAGTGCGTGCTTTTTAGCTTTTCTCTCACGCAGTGTGGCGGCGGCCGCGCGAGCAGCGGGGCCTGGGCGCGAGGCTTCTCCACACACAGCCCGTTAGTCAGTGAGGAGAGGAGAGGGGAGCGGAGCGAGCGAGGAGCAGCAGCCGCTGCTGCTGTCGTGGTGAGCGGGCCGCGCCGGGCCTTCCGCGCCCCCACACACCGAGCGGGCCCTGAGGTAAAAAAATAAGCCGTAAATAAACAGGCGCTCGGGGAGCGGGGCTGCAGGCCCGGCCCTGCCCGGCCTCTCCCCCGGCCCTGCCCGGCCTCTCCCCCGGCCCTCCCCGGCCTCTCCCCGGCCTCCCCCTCTCCCCGCCTCCCCTCTGGCCTCCCTCTGGCTCTCTCTCTCTCTCCCTCTGTCTCTCTCTCTCCCTCTGTCTCTCTCTCTCCCTCTGTCTCTCTCTCTCTCCCTCCGTCTCTCTCTCTCTCCCTCCGTCTCTCTCTCCCTCTGGCTCTCCCTCTGGCTCTCTCTCTTTCCCTCTGGCTTTCTCTCCCTCTGTCTCTGTTTCTCTCCCTCTGTCTCTCCCTCTGGCTCTCTCTCTCTCCCTCTGGCTCTCTCTCTCTCCCTCTGGCTGTCTGTCTCTCTCTGGCTGTCTGTCTCTCTCTCTCCCTCTGGCTCTCTCCCTCTGGCTCTCTGTCTCTCCCTCTGGCTTTCTCTCCCTCTGGCTGTCTGTCTCTCTCTCTGTCTCTGTCTCTCTCCCTCTGGCTCTGTCTCTCTCCCTCTGGCTCTCTCTCTCTCCCTCTGGCTGTCTGTCTCTCTCTCTGGCTGTCTGTCTCTCTCTCTCCCTCTGGCTCTCTCCCTCTGGCTCTCTGTCTCTCCCTCTGGCTCTCTGTCTCTCCCTCTGGCTCTCTGTCTCTCCCTCTGGCTCTCTCTCTCTCCCTCTGGCTGTCTGTCTCTCTCTCTGGCTGTCTGTCTCTCTCTCTCCCTCTGGCTCTCTGTCTCTCCCTCTGGCTTTCTCTCCCTCTGGCTGTCTGTCTCTCTCTCTGTCTCTGTCTCTCTCCCTCTGGCTCTCCCTCTGGCTCTGTCTCTCTCCCTCTGGCTCTCTCTCTCTCCCTCTGGCTGTCTGTCTCTCTCTCTGGCTGTCTGTCTCTCTCTCTGGCTGTCTGTCTCTCTCCCTCTGGCTCTCTCCCTCTGGCTCTCTGTCTCTCCCTCTGGCTCTCTGTCTCTCCCTCTGGCTCTCTCTCTCTCCCTCTGGCTGTCTGTCTCTCTCTCTGGCTGTCTGTCTCTCTCTCTCCCTCTGGCTCTCTCCCTCTGGCTCTCTGTCTCTGGCTCTCTCTCTCTCCCTCTGGCTCTCTGTCTCTCCCTCTGGCTCTCTCTCTCTCCCTCTGGCTTTCTCTCCCTCTGGCTGTCTGTCTCTCTCTCTGTCTCTGTCTCTCTCCCTCTGGCTCTCCCTCTGGCTCTGTCTCTCTCCCTCTGGCTCTGTCTCTCTCCCTCTGGCTGTCTGTCTCTCCCTCTGGCTGTCTGTCTCTCTCTCTGGCTGTCTGTCTCTCTCTCTGGCTGTCTGTCTCTCTCTCTCCCTCTGGCTCTCTCCCTCTGGCTCTCTCCCTCTGGCTCTCTCCCTCTGGCTCTCTCCCTCTGGCTCTCTCCCTCTGGCTCTCTCCCTCTGGCTCTCTCCCTCTGGCTCTCTGTCTCTGGCTCTCTGTCTCTGGCTCTGTGTCTCTCCCTCTGGCTCTGTGTCTCTCCCTCTGGCTCTGTCTCTCTCCCTCTGGCTGTCTGGCTCTCCCTCTGGCTGTCTGTCTCTCCCTCTGGCTCTCTGTCTCTCCCTCTGGCTCTCTGTCTCTCCCTCTGGCTCTCTGTCTCTCCCTCTGGCTCTCTGTCTCTCCCTCTGGCTCTCTCTTCCTCTGGCTCTCTCTCTGTCTGTCTCCGTCTCTCTCCCTCTGGCTCTCTGTCTCTCCCTCTGGCCGTCTCTCCCTCTGGCCGTCTCTCCCTCTGGCCGTCTCTCCCTCTGTCTCTCTCTCTCCCTCTGTCTCTCTCTCTCCCTCTGTCTCTCTCTCTCCCTCTGTCTCTCTCTCTCCTTCTGTCTCTCTCTCTCCCTCTGGCTCTCCCTCTCCCTCTGGCTCTCCCTCTCTCCCTCTGGCTCTCTCTGTCTCTGGCTCTGTCTGTCTCTGGCTCCGTCTCTCTCTCTCTCCCTCTGGCTCTCTGTCTCTCTCTCTCTCCCTCTGGCCGTCTCTCTCCCTCTGGCCGTCTCTCTCCCTCTGGCCCTCTCTCTCCCTCTGGCCCTCTCCCTCCCTCTGGCCCTCTCCCTGGCGCTCTCTCTCCCTCTCCCTCCCTCTGGCCCTCTCTCTCTCTCCCTCTGGCTCTTTCTTTCTCTCTCCCTCTGGCTCTTTCTTTCTCTCTCCCTCTGGCTCTTTCTTTCTCTCTCCCTCTGGCTCTTTCTTTCTCTCTCCCTCTGGCTCTTTCTTTTTTCTCTCTCTCTCCCTATAATTACATAAAGGGAGAGGAAAAAACACTCCTCTCGCCACCTGGCTCTTTCTCTCTCCCCCTGGCTCTTTCTCTCTCCCCCTGGCTCTTTCTCTCTCCCCCTGGCTCTTTCTCTCTCCCCCTGGCTCTTTCTCTCTCCCCCTGGCTCTTTCTCTCTCCCCCTGGCTCTTTCTCTCTCCCCCTGGCTCTTTCTCCCTCTCCAAATAGAATATGGAGGGGGGGAGAGAGGGAGAGAGAAAACATCATCTGGCTCTTTCCCTGGCTCTTTCTCCACTGACTCTTGTTTATTTCTGTCACTGCATGGAAAAGTAGAAGCTACCGCTTTATTTCATTCTGCTTACATACCTTTCAATTTTTAATCCCCCTCTCAGATATGTACTTATTTTATATATTGTTTTATATCACACTTGTTTTTAATCACTTTTCTGCAATTGGTCTCTTTCTCTCCTCTTTGTGTCGCCAGCTCTCTGTCTGCACCTAAGAGCAGCAGATGAAGTTATATTTTTTTCTGGTTTGTTAATATTTTATACATGCATAGGTTTTGTTGTCAAAAGTTAAACTTGTTTTCGTGTTCCAAAAGTTGGTAACAACAAGCAACAGTCCTGTGCAGTCAATACTCTCATCCTTTCGCTTGTTTATCTGTCTTCCCTCTACCTATATTTCTATACCTTTTTTCATTTTCCAGGATTGCTTTGGCCTTGGTTAGTGCCCCCCTCCACTTGTTTAGTTAACCAAACAGCAGCAGGTAATAAAGGCTGGGGTAAAGGCCGGGGGGTCGTTGCAAATACCTTTGAATAAGACTTTAACAGAGGGCATATGTCTGTTCAGGTGGATGTTAAAGATCCCCTGGCATTATTTGAAAAGAGTAGGTAGCTTCTCCCTGTGTCTTGGATCTAAACTAAAATTGGTCAGTTACTTCATGGCTGTGTGGGACATAGCTGTGTGCAAATGGGCTGCTGTGTTTGCTTTGAAATACATTCTTTACGCTTAGTTACATCCCGTCAAGAGTTTTGAAGCACCCTCCTTACACTAAGCCAAATGTAAGGAGTGTTATTGTATATTTTTATCTCAAATTGTTTTAATTTCCCATCAATTGGGATCTTTAACAGCAAACAGTAGCTGAATGGCTTATTATTACTTTTTTGTCAATATACTATATATATATCATTGCTATTTTACAAATCACTGCTCTCTCTCCTTTTTTGTAAAACTTAAAAATACCCACGTAAAATATATGCAAAAAAAGTTGCTGGATCTACAGATGTGGTTAAAAACAACTTGTACTACCTAAATATATAATCCTATAATGTTATGTATTATTTGTGCCTCCAGAAACTAGCAGCAGCTAATTTTTTTGCTTTTTTTTAGATATACATTTTATGTCAAAAAAAACTTCCAACTTACCACAATTGGGAGAAAGCTTCACACACTAGGTCCCTGAATAGTCGATGCTCTCCACCTCTGTCTTTGCACCTAATAGCAACTTATACTTTTTCTTTACATATATTTAATTGCAAAAGAAAACTTATTTTCTCCTAGTTTTCCAGAATTTAGAAGGGAGATTCTGGGATTAACGTCCTGTAGTCAGTGCTCATTCACTCTCCCCCACCCCCCCCCCCCCCCCCTCTTTACATTTATCCATGCATCAGGGCAAAAACGGGACGTTTGAGGGGATCTTGTAGAGGCAGCAACTAATGACCTGTATTGATAAAAAAGAGTAACTACTATTCCCCCAAAAAGGCAATGTATACAATTTTGCTTTTAAGAATAACTTTTTCATTTTCAAAATTCTGATACAAAAGCTTCTAAAAAGTGCAAGGGCAGATACAATACTAATTTATCTCTAACTCAGCACCTTTTGCGATGGGAAGTTGTCCCAAGACACTTAACAATAATGGCATGGGGGTGGGGAGCAGAAAGCACGGTCAAAGAGATGGGTCTTGAGGTGAACTGAATAATTCTGGAAGGCGTCCTTCATACCCAGCAGTTAAAGGCTGCTAATATATGCATAGGTAATGGATATTAAGGTACGAACGACATCTATAGAGGCAGCAGCTAAATAGAAATTTTCTGCACAAAGGGAGACCATTCAGCCCAAGGGGCTGAATCCACACCCTAACAGCCCTCTGTGTGGGAAAACAATCATTTTAACCTCTCCTCTGGATCTGCTGCGAACTCTCCTGAGATTATAGCCCTTTGTCACCCATTTACAACAAAAGGAAATTGTTTTTCCCTATTTACCGTTGGATTCTTAAGACTTGCTTTCTTAAATAGAGTTGTCAGGATGTGGAATCACTGTCTGCAATGGTGGTCAAGGATCCAATTAGTTTTCAAGAGGGAACTAGATATCTTAAAAAATAATTAATTTGGAGGGCTATGGGGAAAGCCAGGCAACTGGGACTGATTGGATTCAAAGAGCTGGGAAAGATGGTGCTGTAAAGTTCTATGGCTCTTTAATCCCTTCAGTCTCTTTTCCATCAAGTGGGAAAGAATCCCCAGTTTAATAAGCCTCTCTTCATAGGTATATAGTCAACAGTTGATAGTCACTATTGATGTTACAGAAGCAAAATATGAGAATCTTAGTCATCTACCAAAAGCAGGCAATAATGTACGTCTGTGTCTCCCTGAAGCTGCACACTGTTGACATGTGGGAGCTGCTACTTATGCTGTGTGGCACAGTAGTCCCTCCCTCTTCCCCGCCTCCCTTAATCAATCAGCGTTACATTTCTAAACAATGCAGCCAAACCACCTTATTT